CAAACCCACTGGATATGGTGATGGGTGCTCCCAGGCCCTCAGCAACAGGGCTCGTGGGATACAGTGGCCAGAAGCTCCATTTTCGTGGCTCTTAAAAACGCTCTCAACTCTCCAACTTGACAGTGAACTTCATGCAACGTTCAACAGAAACACGTTCCTACTAAAGAAGCAGCTTGCTACGCTTTATCCTCTGTGCCTTGCTAAAGGTATTTTATCATCTCCTGGCCCTTTCATCAGGAGAATAGGTTTTTGTCCTTTTCTGAGAGGTCATTGAATTCAGCTTTCTCAGAAGATTAGGATCATAAAGTTATATCATGCTCTACTCTATTCTCGATAATGTAGTTAAAAATGAAATTTGCATTTTTCTGACTTGATTTGGTCTGGAACCAATCCCCACTGGTACACAGGACGAAGTGTAATAGATCACCGTGACTCCAGAGAGGGTTTATGGAATGAATCCTGAATCCCATTTGGAGGTGTTTGTGCTACTCAGGCCATCTTCCTACTGCCTGCTTCATTATCCTGGTCTTCTGCTTGTCCCACCCTGGAAACCATGTTTAGAGTATTTTCTCAGAATGAAATCTGTTGGTTTAGTTCCTGCATGACCACCGCACACTCTGCCCTCAACGTAGTGAGGCTGGACGCTTGATCAACTGGCAGCCTGTGGAAGCCTGTGTCCTGTTCTGACAAACAGACCCGAGCTGGGTTGCTCCAGCACGGTCATGTTGGCTTAAGTGGCGTGTCTGCTTTCCAGATTCCACCTGTCTCTGGCACAAGTCAGTCCTCTTGGTCTCTGCCAAGTGATGACGTTTTAGGCCTTTCCTTGCTATTTGTACATATTGAAATAGAATAACATAGAATTACATGTAGGTGGGTGAATATGATTCTTTGTACTTTGATGAACACATTGGACTCTTCTCATGGTGAGAATTTCAAGTACCTGGCCATCGGAGAAGATGGTCTGGGGAAGGGAGAAGGAGGCCTCTATTACCTTTAAATCCTGAAACAGCAGACCTTATTTGACTCTTCTCTATAGTTAAGTGCTACTGATGAGTAAGTGTATGATGCCTGTCGGGGAAAAAACCTTGGCTTTCAGAATAACTAACATCCTTGAACATCAATGGTAATTTGTTCACATCATAAGACCAGAGCCTTATTATTGTGTCTGTCATGACTACACAGGCAGGTGTAAGCTTTTCTGTTTGTTACGACTTGATCTGCTCATCCTCTTTAATGAAGGGCCATTGACTAGAGACCATATCTCTGCTTATGTGAAGGTAAGAATTCACAGTACGTAATACATAGAGTAAAGGAACAGCAATTGCTTTCTAGAATTCCTGGAAGTTCACTGAGACTTGACTCTTTTCTCAATACACCTATGAGAGGACCTATAGTCCTCCAAACCATCGTAATCCAGATGTGGGAAAACACTCAGGTTGGTGGTTCCTGCTCCTCACTAGTTCCAAAAGTAAACACACTTTCAGAGGATGGATATTTGCTTTCGATGAGGATATCCAAGAAGAAAGTACCCCAGGGCATGAGGACAAATTAGAAGAAACTAGAAGTTGTGATCTAAGAATTAGGGCTATATGGAAGGAATCAGCATGTAGCTTCCAGCAGCTTCCCTGTGTGAAGCCCTGAATGTTGTGACCAAATCCTTCTAGTTCTCGACTGTCTGGAACAGCACGTGGCAACCAAATGTCCTGATGGCCAGAAGCTGCCATTAAGCACGTGGCCATTGGATTGGCGCCTTTTAGGTTCACATGCTATGCTGACCGGGCTCAGATTTTTGATGCCAAATGAAACTTGTTTCGTTTTTGTCCCAGCTGATGGTATCACAGCCGCTCACTCAGTAGGCTTGCTGCCATTAGCACAGAAATGGCCTTTGGCTCTTCGACAGAGAACAGGTTTGCTATTTCTTGTCCTGTGCTAAGAGACACATACCACTGTGCACTATTGCACTGCAGGCCTGAGACGGTGGGGAGAGAGGGGCACTGTGTTGGGCAGCGAGAGGGTGCTTGAACCGGTGTGGTCACGGCTTGAGTGCTGCGTCTGCCATGAAGGAGCTCTGGGACCTTGGTGAGCGATGAGGCTTGGTGCTTCCTCTACAGACCCTGCAGGATTGTGTGAGGACCAATGAGGTGGTGCGTGTGAGGAGCTGAGCACATGGGTGCCTCGTAAGCTGGAGACATGCGGGTTCACCATACACACTGTGTGTGCCTCACCCAGCGTAGGTGCTCCCAAGGCGAATGCTCTGGGAATACCGAGTAAAAAGAGAACGGCATCTGAAGGTTCCTGCAGCCTTCTGGGGAGAGGGAAGAGTGGCCACCCCAGGCCTGATGGCAAAGAACATTGGGCTGGATGACTTAGCAAGTCCTTTGTGACCACCACTTCTGGGGTTGCTGGAACAGCCCCATTTCCAGCAGTTTGTCAGATGGCTTTCCTCACGAGACTTTCCTGAGGATATGCTGCGGGAGGTTCATACCCTGCCTCATCTAGAAGCAAGAGGCACAGGAGTGTCCCCAACTCTGGAGGGCAGTTGTCACTCTAACAAAACACCTGAATAAGCTGTGAATAAGCACAGCCACTGGCTAGGGGATGGGTTGGTCACTTTGAAGCCAAACCATGAAGCCCTTACTTTGCTAACCGGCATGATTGGTGAGGAGTCCTGACTTAGCAAGAAGCTGGAGTAAAAGATTTTATGAGGTAAAGGACTCATGGTAGGCAGCTAAACAATAAGTGGAAAATTGGTAAAGTAAGGAAAAGGTGGTAATTTTTCCTGTGTGCAGTTACCACACCCACTCTGGCAGAATATAAATGCCAGGAGAGGACCAGGGTTTGTATCAGAGTCAAGGATCCAGGTTTGGAAACTCACCTTCAGAGCCTTGCTCCCTTCTTGCACCATGTCTTACACCTGCCGTTCCAGCCTGAGCTGCCGCTCCAGCTGCTCTTCCCGGCCCTGCGTGGCCCCCAGCTGCCACGGCTGCACCCTGCCCGGAGCCTGCAACATCCCCGCCAACGTGGGCAGCAGCGGCTGGCTGTGCGAGGGCGCCTTCAACGGCAA